CACCCGGATTGACACCTCTAGCTGCAAGTTTGTTTTTGAGGAAATTGCATCTTCTTCAGTTTTAGTTATATTAATAGAAATATCTACTGCACCATTGGATGATATTGAAGTTTACAAGCTATGGTAATGTAAGACTAGAGAAGAGACTTGTAACAAAGAGCCTATTAAAGTCTTTCCGAGATCTCAAAGGAGAATTTGGATATCCAATCTGCAACTTTGCACGGAGTATTCCTTCCGAATAGTATCCTTCGTCGAGGCTGGTGTAGAGATAATTCACAAGAACTCGAACTCTCTCGCTGCAAATCTGCAAAAGGAGAATTCAGAAGACAGAGGAAGATCTGATGCCAAACGAGACCATAAGACTGTAACAGAGATTGAAATCGTCTATGAATTCAAGATTCAAGACCTTGGGAAGATCTTGAGGCTAGCATTGACACAAGAACAAGGCTTTCTTCAAGGGTTCCATGGTGCAGATGTTAAAATATGTTCCACGGATCGTAATTTTATTAACACAGAAACTATAATTGAAGACAGTTTGCAATCCATTTCAAGGAAGATTGACTTGAATGTTTCTCTAGTGCCTGATCTTTAGATAATTTCTTCTTTCGTTACTTTTTTTTTTCAACGTCTAATTCTCAGAATCCTAGATGGAATGAGACATTCTATATCCCCTAGCCCATCGTTTTTGAGGCCGGCCTTGAGGATTTTGAGGCCCTAGGCCCTTAAATATAATTTTTTACAAACGTAGAAATATTTTAACTTGTATAAATAGCCATGAATATTCTAGTACAGGAGGATCTTCTGTAGTGATTCAGCCCTGGATATTGAACAATAACTTTGCTACATTACATGATAATGAATTAGAAACAGCCAGTACCATGATGTCGGATGTTTGACAAAGCAGTTAATTACTATGTAATCACTACTTTGTGGATTTAATATATGTATAAATGTGGAGATTCATAATGGTTCTTGTTCAATTTTTTCTTACACGTCGGTTTTGTAAACAAAATCAAATCCATGCTCTAAATCAATGAATAATTTCCTTTTTCACAAGCATTTTCTAGCTTTCAAGCTACGACCTTCTCCAAATTTCAATAAGAAACTCATGAATGCTAGTTTCTCGTCTCGTATAAAAACTTCGAAGTCAAAAGATTATTGAGTTAGCTTTTTCGTTCCTTAATCTTCCTGCGTCCACTTCTACAACACCTGGCGTCATACAATCAGAGCATTTTTTCAACAGTTACTTCCCCTTCCTCAAATAATTAACTAGTCCTCGTAATGAATTTCGGCCACATATATTTCTACAGCAACTCCTTGTTACCTTGTACCCAAAATTCGAAATTCTTTCCTGAATGATTACACTATTCTTGAAGTTCTATTCAATCATCCCATTT